TCTGGAGCTCCACAAGTTTATGCAACAAACATTTTCAATAATAGGGCTCCGAACCAACAACATAATTCTGACCTCTCAAGTAATAGATACAATCCAGGGTGGAGGAATCACCCAAATCTGAGATGGTCCAATCAGCAGCACCAACAGCAGCAGAATCCTTTGCCACCACCACCATTTCAGAATTCTGTTGGTTCAAGCAGACCTTATGTGCCTCCACCAATGCAACAACAATATCAGAGGCAGCAAAATGAAGCACCAGCTCCTCAACCTTCTTCACCTTCATTAGAGGAATTAGTCAAACAAATGGCTGAGATGAACATATAGTACCAACAGAAAAATGATGCCTCCATTCAGAGTTTAACCAACCAGATTGGTCAACTAGCTACTGTTGTGAATCAATTGCAAAATCAAAATTTAGACTAACTCCCTGTACAGACTGTGGTTAATCCTAAGAATGTGAGTGCCATCACATTGAGGTCAGAAAAATAGATTGACATAACCACTGCAGTACCTCCACCCTCATCAGTAGCTGCCTCAATTCCTGCACCTGAGCAACTAGTTGGTAGTCAAAAATTGCATATAGATGGACCTTCTTCCAGCCCTAGTTCTGACCTGCAACAGCCTCCTATCCCTCTTCCATTCCCTCCCAAAGCAATTCCAAGCAAAAAGATGGAAGACGTCGATAAAGAGATTCTAGAGACCTTCAGGAAAGTTGAGGTGAACATACCTCTGCTTGATGCCATCAAGCAAATTCCCAGATATGCTAAATTCCTGAAGGAGCTATGCACCCACAAGAGGAAGATGAAGGGCAGTGAGACAATCAGCATGGGCAAAAATGTGTCTGCTTTGATAGGTAAATTTGTTCCTTACATTCCTGAGAAATGTAAGGACCCAGGTACATTCTGCATACCTTGTATTATTGGCAATAATAAATTTGAGAATGCCATGCTTGATTTGGGTGCTTCAATTAATGTCATGTATTTGTCTATATTTAAATCTCTTTCTCTTGGACCCTTGCAACCTACGAATATAGTTATTCAGTTGGCAAACAAGAGTGTTACCCACCCTATAGGTTTCATTGAGGATATCTTAGTTAGGGTTGGTGAGTTGATTTTACCTACTGATTTTTACATTCTTGATATGGACGAGGGATTTTCACGTGGTTTTGCACCCATCATTTTAGGAAGACCATTTTTAAAGACTGCAAGAACCAAGATTGATGTGCATGCAGGGACCTTATCCATGGAATTTGATGACATTGTGGTGCACTTTAATATTCTAAATGCCATGAAACACCCATCTGAGGAGATAGATCCAGGAACCACCATGATGAGGAAGACTTTGTTTGTTTTAGCGGAACAAAGTTGCTACTTGATGACCTCAACACCTGTACCATCTGAGGAGATAGATCCGGGACCCACCATGATTAGGGAGTTCTTCTTTCCCCTTCAACTCTTTTATCTTGCTTGTCCTATTTGTTTAATGGATATGATTGTGTTTACATTGAGGACAATGTCTAATTTAAGTGTGGGGTGGGAGATGTAGGATTGTAGGTTTATATTCTATGTTTTGTGTATAGTTTTGCATATTTTTCTTTGATTTCTAGGTTTTGTATAGGTAGTAGGAACTTTCTTCACTCTTGGGATAGGAGTTGCTTTATGCTTTTTGGATTGAAATCCCTGTTTTTCTCTGCTTGTCAAGTTGGTTACGATGTTTGAGAGGTTGAATTGAAGGCGACAATCTTACCCTTTGTGAGGAATTGAGCCACTACCTGTTCTTTCTTGAGTGTTATGCCTCTTGATTGCTTGCTTGCGCAGTAGCCTTGGCTTGACTCTGATTGATACTTCTTGATTCACATGCATGTTTGGAGATGATTAAGGCATTTTTGTTCTGATTAGCCTCTAGCCAAATGAGCCTACCTTGAATTAATTCCTTTGATAGCCCCTTTGAGCCTATGTTTCCCTTTATTTCTTTTGAAGCTCATTAAAAGCCTTAAGTGAAAAACCATGATTACCTTAACCTTAGGGATTTTTGGAGCTTTGGAATAGTTTTGGGAATAAGTTATTGAATAAGTGTGGGGGTGCATTCTGTATTTCATTGGATGATGTACTGGCTAGTTGGTTATCTCTGCTGTACAGTTTTTGTGTTTTCCTTTCAGTGTATTTCATATAGTTAAAAAAAATGATATATTTAAAAAAAAAGAGAGAAAAAAAAAAGAAGAAAGGAAAGTTGTGGTTAAGGCAAAAGACAATAGAGGAGGTTTGATATTAGAGGTTTGTTAAAGGTTTTTGGGCATGCATCTTGTGCTTATTTTTTTACTTATTCCCCATTGCTCCTCTAGTTCCTCTGGTTCACAGCTGCTTATCCCATATGATATCCTCTACCTTGTCCCTACCCCCATTACAACCTAAAAAGACCTTTTGATCTTTTTGTGCATGTGCGTTGGGTGTTGAGTTTAGAGGCTTGCCAAGTCTATCTGTTGTTTGCTTTTCTTGAGTATTTTGAGAGTATACAGTAGCCTAGACACATGAGAGATACAATGCAATCTTGTGAGATTTTGTCACTTTCATTCACCTTTTGACCTGATTGACCTCTTGCTAGATTTTGAAATGTTTGGATGATTTCCATGAGTATCTGGTTCCTCTGACTCTTCGTGTGTTGGATGTTGTCTACTCCTTTCTTTTCCCAGGATTCATTAAGGATTGTGTAAATTTGTTTGTGTTTTGTGTGTCTTCTTGTTCTTGCTCCTTTTTGTTATGTCACTCTCTTCGATGTCTTTGGAATTGCTCCTTGCTTTGCTTCTTGATTTTGCCCGGGAGTGCAAAAGGCTAAGTGTGGGGGAATTTGATGAGCCATTATTTTCCCGCATTTTCTTATCTTTATGTACTTATCTTAATTGGTGCATTGTGTTTAATTGTCTATTATTAGTGCATTTTCATTGATTGGGCTTCATTGGGCCAATAATTTAGATTTTAATTAATTTGAATCAATTTGATCTAATTTTTACTCATTATTAATTTTAGGACAGTTTAAAGCAATTTTGGACTTGAAAAATTGGGCCAAATGTCATATTTTATTTTATACGGGTACTAACATTAGTTTATTGTTTTATTTATCATTTTTTCTACAGATCTCCAAATAACATGATTCTAAAATAATTATAAACTAGACACATTGATCTTTCCACAGGATCCAAAATCATTCAATTCGGAGCTAAATTGGATTTTACATAAATTATCCAAAACGGGTCAAGCGCACCAAGCCGGCCCAATAGACATGCTTCAGTAATTTAAGTTTCCTTAATTCATTAGACCTCCGAAAATAGTAAAAACAGTGGAATTTTAAAGCTAGCTCAAAAGGCTTTCAAAGGAGACCAAAATCGCTTAATTTGGATAAGTATTGAAAATACTGCACGTGTTTGAAGTTCATGGACCTGCACTGAAGCCAATTTATGATGTGTTTCATGGACTAGTTGAGCCCAAACCTCGATTAGGGTTAGGGTTATTTATATAAGAGAGGCACATCACACGAAAGACAAACATCACACAAGGACTACGCAGCCACCACACTTCCACCTTTCATCTTCTGCAATTTATATTCAAGTTTGTTTAATCTTCTGTCATTATTTTTAAATTCTTGTTTCGATTTTAATTATGTTTCTTCTATTGTGTTTTCAACTTTCCATGGATAGCTAAATCTTTGTATTAATTTTCTGAGAAGAATGCAACTAGATCTTTGAGGTTTTGTTCTTCAATTTCATTTTGTTTGTTCTCAAAACTCTTCATCTTCTAATCTCAGTATTGAATTATAATCTGTTTATGCTTAATAAACCGAAACTTATATCACAGTTTGCTTAATTCTGTGTTAGATATGAGATTATGTGATGTATGAAATGCTTAATTGTATAAGGATAATTTGGGGTTAATCTTCGCTTAGTTGGTTAATTTCATGTTGGAATAAGGGTTAAGGAAAATTTGGGATTAATCTTCGCTTCGTTGGTTAATTTCATATTGGAACAAGGGTTAAAGCTAATTTGAGATTAATCTTCGCTTAATTGATTAATTTTGGATTAGAATATAATTTGGGATTTATCTTCGCTTAGTTGGTTGATTTCGAATTAATTTCGTAATCTAGGATAAGTAACACTGCATTAGAATCAGAAAATCAATTGCATTTTAATCTATTTTTAATCCGCATTTTTATAATCTGCTTTTGTTCTGTTTCATCTAATATTTTAATTTTGAAAAACTCCTTTTTTTTGTTACTATTATAAATTTAAAAATTGATAAGCTTTGATAGAAATTTGTGGTTTTTGGGAGACGACCTAGGAAAGCTTCCTAGTACTACATTTATCTGTTTTAATTATTTTAATTATTTGATCGAGTACGACATCGATCAATAGGATTCCTCACACAGGATGCCGGGACGGCCGTCCCAGATTTTGTCAGGCAGGATGACCGTTTGGGATTTTGGGACGGTCGTCCCAAGCTTCCTAAGAGGGTGGGACGACCGTCTCCAATTTGGGACGACCGTCCCAGACCACCAAGGAAAGTGGGACGGCCGTCTCGAGCTTGCAAAATAGGTGCGACAAAATTTATTTTTTTGTTTTCTAAGAAAACCCTCCTTTTCTTAAATGGAGCCTAGTGGACACTACTAGGGGCCCTATGAAGCCTTGTCCATCTTCAAAACAGAGGATTTCTGAGTCTTGTTGCAAGGTCGGGCAAGATTTGGGGTCTATAATACTTCATCTTATTGTTTGAATCCTCTGTCCCCATGCAACCAATCATGCTCAATGCTCTGTTGCAGATCTTCGCATCATCCATGCAATTATGAACAATGAGCCAATTGATTGGCCTAGTCTGATCCTATCCACTATGCTAAAAAACTTTCGCCATCCCACCTTCAGGATTCCCTATGCTCTCCTTGTCTCCCGAATTCTTGAATATAAAGGAGTAAATCTTGAAGGGGAACAAGTGTTTCACACATTGAACTCCAATAAAATGCTTAATAGTACACTCTTTGAAATGCAATTGGTCAATGTTGATGGACATTATGTTCATAAGGATGATACTCCCCATCCAGTTGTTAATGAAGATGTTGAGATGGTTGTTGTTGATACTGAACCCTTTCTTGTCAAAGGAAGCTCATCTGGTGCCCATAATGAAGCCCACTCCTCCCTTGGATATCTTTTTCTAAACATTAACCAAATGATGGAGAACTTCTTCACCATCTCTGAAAATAGGCATCATGAGATTGTGAATCTCAATTCGGATGTGGACTCTCGTGTGACATCTCTTGAACACAAATTTGACGTGGAATTTGGCTACGATTCTCTTAGCGATGAATTTTAGAACCCTTGTTATCATTGGTTTAGCTCTTTTCCAATCTATGTTACAAAATTTTTTGTTAACTTGAATAAATTATTATTCATAATTGATTTCTTGAGGGGGTGTCAATTTTTTCCAGCATTTATTGAGGGGAGGTTTTTGTTTATGTTTACTGCTTATTTTTTTGTTTATGATAAAAAAGGGGGAGAAAATCTTTTAAAGCCTGGTATGTTTAATATCTTTTCTATGATAGTTGTGACTAAAAACAAGTTATTACAAAGTGGCTTTAAAGCAAATTTTGATTATCATAAAAAAAGGGGGAGATTATTGAAAATACAAGGATATGATGTCTAAAATTTTTGATGATGATTCAAGAACTCTGTTTAGTTAACTTAATTCTGTAAAATTAGAGTCCAAAATAGCCAGCACTTAGTTTGTCCACAAAAGTTTCAAAATTGCACTGTGATAATCGATTATCACTAAGGATAATTGATTATCCTAGTATCTCTTGGATTTTTGAAAATGATTCTGGAATAATCGATTATCACTCATGATAATCGATTATCCTGAACAACTTTGGTTTTCTGATAAAAGCTTTTGTGATAATCGATTATCACTAAGGATAATCGATTATCTAAGGCAATTATGAATTTGAAATTCAAATTTTATCCTAATTTTTTAAAACTCTATTTAAAGGAACTCTCATGCTCTCTAAATTAGACAACCTTTTTTATACTCAGAAAGTTAAGAGTTGTGTTTGCTGAGAGAACTTTGAGAAGTAAGCAAAAAGGGGCTTTGAAAACCTAGTGTGGGCAAAAGGGGATAAGGATCACTGAGTGGGATTCTCAGTGGATTGAGTGTTGTGCTGTCTCTTGGAAAGTTGTCTTCATCCTTTGTGGGTTCAAAAAAGGTGTTCATCTATTGTGTGCTCAAGAGAGGTGTTTTCTAATCCTTTCTATTTGTAATCTGTGTATCTGATTGAATCATTATTTTAGTGACTGAATTAATCCTCTTTTAGAGTGATTAACAACTGGACGTAGGGTCTCTTGATCTGAACCAATATAAAATACTTGTATGATCTCTTTTCTCTTTGTTAAGTGGTAAAAGTTGATGTAATTATACTTTTAATTCTTATTTAACCACATAAATTATGTTGATTCTAATCTATTTTTCTCCCAATGGAGGATGAATTTGCAGAATACCTTGGTACAAGAGCAAGCATCATAATTCTCAAGATAATTGAAGAAAAACTGAAAAAAGGAAGAAGATTTTTAGCCTAAGATTTGCCCAAGCGAGACGGATGCTCACTTAAGAGAAAATATGTTAAATCTCTCTGGAAGTCACTCACTCAAGCGAACATTTATTCGCTTGAGCAAAAATACGTTAAAGGTCTTGGGAATTCAACCGCTCAAGCAAACATTTTTTGCTTGAGTGAAAGTCATCATTTTTCGCTTGAGCGAATGATTCGTGACCCAAATTTTTCTATAAAAAGATAAGATGTGTTTTGAGAGATTTGGAGGTTTTGAGAAGAGAGGCACGACAACTGCTCCAATTTTGGTCCAATCTTCAATTATTCCTCATTTGGATCATTGTAATGGCCATCATGAGTGACTAACTTCATTCTTTTAGGATTGAGTGCACTTCCTTTGAACTCTTTTGTATCTTGGTGATATTTTGAGATATTAATCTATGTTCTTGATGTTGTTATTCTTATCCTTTGTGCCTTTTAATGCTTTTATCCTGGATGTTCATATATATTGGAAAATATATCGTGAAACACTTGATTAGGTTTAGAATATTTGCTACATTGATTGCTAGGAATGGTAATGGTTGTATTAAGTGTTTAACACCCTAAACCTAATGCTGGAAAATCTATTAAATGTATGAGGAATCTATGTTTACAATGTGAATGATTTAAGTAGGTGACATCAACATTGATAAGTTAATTGATGTTATTAATTTGACCTAGCCATTATACAAAGGAGGGAAAAGGAATGAATCAAATCCTAAGTTCTTATATTTCATCTTTTCTAAAAATACTTAATAGTTCATTGCCATTTAGTTTCAACCCACATATTTATGAAAAACCAATTTTGTGTCAATATACTTAATAAGCATATGACTTGGAATTTCTAGTGAAACCGTCCCTCGTGGGATCGACTTTTATTTAATTGAAATATTGTACTGCGATTAATAATATTGGTACACTTACCAAAAGACCAACAAGTATTTTTGGCACCGTTGCCGGGGAACGATGTTCCTTGGAAATTATTTGTCTAGCTTATTAAGCATTTGAATAATTTAATTTTAGTTATTTTAATTTTTTTTCTTTTTATTATTTGTTCTGTGTTAATTCTTGCGTGAGTTGTTCTTTAATTTATGCTTTTAAGAGGACAGGTATTTATAGATCAGTTAGAATGTGATCCTAAGATTGAAAAGGCTGCTCAGAGATCATGGTAAAAGAAGAAGGGAAACTCAAGAACAAGCAATAGGAGAATCAGTTAACTCTTCTCCCACAATCAACTTACCAGAATCAACTTACCAGACCCAATCATAGAAGACATGGAGGGTGAAAGAGCAAATCTGCCTAGAAGAACACTAGGAGACTATGCTATGCAACAAGGTCAAGGTCTGAGACACTTCTCCAGCATTGCAATACCAACGAACCAATCTTTGGAGATGAAGTCAACATTCTTAAGCTTGATTAGTGCTCATTAATTCACCAGAATGGATCATGAAGATCCATATATTCATTTGTCCACTTTTTATGAGTTGATTGACACCATGGGGTTTAAAGGAGATATTGAATCTGCATACTTGAGATTATTTCCTTTTCCACTGGCTGGCAGGGCAAAGGAGTGGTTAAAACCCCATTCTTATCAAAGTTTGACCAATTGGAGTAATGTAGAAGAGAAGTTCCTAAACAGATTTTTTCCACCATCCCGCTACATCAAGGTAAATTCTGACATATATACTTTTAGACAAGGAGCGGATGAACCCTTTTATGAAGCATGGGAGAGATTTAAATCACTGTTAAGGAGGTGCCCAAATCATGGATTTAAGGACAATTCCTAGTTGAACATCTTCTGCACTAGCATAAGACCTGATACAAAGATGCTTTTAGATGTTGCAGCAAGAGGAACCATGATGTTTGTTGATGCTGAACATGCCACAAGAATTATTGATGCACTAGCCTCTACAGACTAGCAGGCCCAACATGATAGACATCCAGTTTAGAGGAAAGGAGTGCTTGATCTTAACACCACAGATGCTATCCTAGCTTAGAATCAAATTCTGACTCAACATATTGAAGCATTGACCAAGAAAATAGTAAAACTGCCTCAACAATTACATGTTGTCCAATCCACTTTCAACCAACAAATGAGTTGTGACTTTTGTGGAGGTAATCATCCAAATTGACACTACTCTTACCAAGGAAACCTACAAGAAGAATAAGCTCATTATATGGGTTCTCAAGGTGGTAGTGGTCAAGGAAGACAAGCATATTTCCCTAATTCAAACAACTATCAGAATAATTTTTCACAAGGATGGAGAGTGAATCAGAATCAGAACTTTGAGTGGAAACAAGATGTTGGTCCATCTAATAGACAACCTCCATATCAACTACAACAATAACATTACCCTCCGGTTCATGAGAGAATAGTCAAATTGGAGGACACTCTGGAGAAATTCATGCAAGCTTCCTTGTGTAGTAAGAAAAATATGGAGGCTTCGATAAAAAATTCAGAGACCTAGGTGGGCCAATTGGCTAAATAGTTATCTGAGCAGCACGTGCTAGAATTGTGCAGCGGAATGTTCGCGTTTAGGGACAAAAACCAAGAGGGGGGGTGAATTGTTTTCTTATAAAAATTAGGGTTTTGAAAATTTTTCCCAAAATTTCACCGATTAAAATGCTTGTAAAGTAAAGAGATAAGGATGAGAAGATTACACAGATGTTTTATACTGGTTCAAATCAAAAGACCCTACACGTAACTAACTCCCTTACCCAACTTTGGTTATAATGGCCAAAGTTGGTTTTTTTAAACCAACGTCTTCTTTTTCTTCCTTTTCCAATGTTTCCGGATAAAACATTGGTGGCGACTCCAGAACCCTTTTTCAAAAATCTCGTCTTTAGGTCCAGCCCGGTTATCGGACAACCTAAAGGCGTTGTACCATACTTTTAAAATGCGAGTCGAAGTCAGAAACCATCATGTCGCTCCGACCGCCTCTTTTGACAGCAGCGACAATAAGGAGTTAATTTTATGATTGACCTAATAAGCATCCTATTCAATACATAACATGCAGTACTTACAACATTAGCCAAAAATGTTTAGGAACATTTGATTCATTTAACATTGTTCTAGCAAGTTCCTCTAGTGACCTATTTTTTTCTTTCTACTACACCATTTTGTTGGGGAGTTCTAGGTGCAGAAAAATTATGCAAAATTCCATTTTCTTCACAATAATTTTCAAATGATTCATTTTGGAATTCCTCACCATGGTCACTCCTTAACACTTTAATTCTTAAGTCTTTCTCATTTTGAATTTGGTTAGCAAACTTTATAAAAGATTTAAAAGCCTCACTTTTCAATGTTAAGAAAAATGTCCAAGTAAATCTAGAGAAGTCATCAACAATTACAAGAACATAGTAATTTCCACCAAAACTTTTTATCCTAGATGGACCAAATAAATCTAAGTGTAAAAGTTCTAAAGGTTTTGATGTGGAAATAACATTCTTAGATTTAAAAGATGATTTCACTTGTTTACCTTTTTGACATGCATCACATAATCTATCTTTTTCAAATTTTAGCTTAGGCAAACCAACAACTAAGTCATTTGATATTAGTTTGTTTAATTGATGCATGCTTATATGAGCCGCTCTCTTATGCCATAACCATGGATTTTCTTCCTTAGCAACTAAGTATGTGATATTCGTATTAGATACACAATCCAAGTCAATTAAATAAATATTGTTATGCCTAATACCTTTTAAAGCTATATTTTTAGAATCCTTTAAATTAATG